TCTATCATGAAATTGTCTTAATCATGTTTTTAAATAGCTCCAATTTCATTTCCTTCAAAACAAACATCTTAAAGTATTATAGGCAGTAGAGAAATCAGTTAAGATTTTTAACTTTCTTTATTCTATTACTATTATTCTAACTCTCTGTAGTCATAATGATCCTTCTTTATAGATATTTAATATCTATTCTGATTCTTAAGCAATATTACTGTTACTTGTTGCGCGCCTTGCTTGTCCAGCAGGAATAAGGACACAACACACTAGCGGTTCCTTCTCACAGCGGTTTACTCAGGAGTTTTGTTACAGAGGGTGGTGGAAGATGGAGTCTCTCTCTGACCCTTGTGGAAGATGGAGTCTCTTTTTCTTTTACCCTTCCTGGGTGCGGCTTTTATCCCCTTCTCAGTACTCCTCCCATCACTGCCTATCAGTCTCATGTGTCATGCCTCCATTGGACCATTAACCCCACGTGAGATCAAGTCATCAACCAATGAGAACACAGTGCCCAAATAAGGTCTTATTTGTGTTTAAGGCAAACAAAGAGAAACAGGAAATCAGCGCCATCTTGTAATGGCGACTATGCAGCCGTTCATGGCCCTCCACAGTTACTGTATATTTGACATTTTAGTTTTTAAAAGTATTTTCACAAGTCTTACCTTGACATTTCCCAATAATAGATGTAAAATCATCTTTTGCAGACCTGAAAAATACATAAAAGGAAAAGTTACAGCCCAAAAACACTGTGTAAGTATCATGCAAGAAAATGATGCCCTCAAATCTGTTAAAATTCAAAGTCATAGAATTCACAGATCTTAATTCACTGAGTTCAGTTGCTAACACACTGATTTTAGCTTTCTGTGAAATTTCTATCTTATGTATTCATGTAGAAGGACTCTCCGATTTTTGTGGAGTAGACAACTTGGCCTCATTTGAGCATTAGTTTCAAATGAGGACGTTTTCTAACCCCTCTTATAACCTCAAAGGATAGACATGATTAGCAGTAATTAGATCCAGCAATAACATTACTTAATTTGATAGTGGTTTAAGAGGCAAGTCCTACTATTTTTAAAACAGAACTATTCAATAATTTGCCCACTTTTTAAATTTTTATTGTTCGTAGGAATAATAGCCTTATTTGTTGCAATAATGTGAAAAGTACCTTTCAAGAAATGTGCTTATGGTATAACTTAATAGTCAAATTAAAATTTATTTCCATTTTTTTCCCCACAAAAAGAAACACAACCAAATAATTTTTAAAGGACAGGATATATGTTTGGGGATGGAACTGATAATTAGGTCCATGAAAGAGCATTTGAGTATTTTACGGAACTTGATAATAAAAATTTATTATTGTTGTTGTTGTTGTTGAGAACATACACAACAAAATATATGCCAATTCCAACACTTTTTTTTTGCATGTACCATTTAGTGACATTATTACATATGCAAGTTCTGTAACCCATCTCCCCTTTCTTTTCTGCGGTGTTTCTCCACTATTAGCATAAGCTCCTTGTTCCCTAAGGTTATTACTGACAAATGTTTCAAGTTGCTGTTGGCAATTTGATCTCATTCAGATCATTCTTAAGACATAATGCTCAATGTGGACCTTTGTTAGTTTTAAGAAACTACCATAACATTTTGTACTAAGGTTTAAAGACTATCTCAGGCCAGTAGTTTCAGAGATTCACCTATTCTTTACGGCTCCAGCAAGTCTGATAAAAATAGGACATTCCAGTCTACATTTCTGCATTTCTACCTTTGATCAGTATTCTTATGTGAAATCTTTGGTCAAAATGCACAGTAATGGTAGCCAGTCATCGTCAAGTTCGGAAGACATTCTTCCAATCAGTAACTTATGTTTTCACTTCATTTTGAGTGAAGTGCTTTGATGACCAAAACATTCATTTTTGAGGGGGAGGGAGGAGTTCACTGTCTTTAACTGGCATGGATGTTTCTGGGGGAGGGAGCTTATTCCTCAGCAGCAGCAGCCTTCTTGACATCTTGTCTGAGGCGGAAAGGGGTGGGAGTCACCTGGCCCTCCCGAGGTGACCAGCCCTCCGAGGGGCACACACCACTACTCCAGGGCCTTCACCAGGGCCTCACTGACTGGATCTCCACCTGCTGGGCCTCATCGGCTGTCCTGGCCAACTCCACCTGTGCCTCCTCGAGGTTCACCCTGGCTGCCCCAACTTGCAGCATGTGCAGCGTTACAGCCTCTTCTGCCAGTAACTGCACAGAAGAGTCAGCGTTGACTGTGACAGAGCCACTGCTCACAAAGTACTTGTTGGTGGTACCATTCTTGGCATGAACCACTTCCAACCTAGGCCTCGGGGCCCGCAGTGTGGGCACATGGGACACCAGGATGCCAAAAGAGCCTGTCTGCATGGGCACATCCACCTGGCAGACGTGAGCATCATGGAAAAACACCTGCGTGGGCGAGGCGAAGGTGAAGGATATTTGCCGGGGGCCGGCAGCAGGTGCTGGGGTGGCGGTGGCCTCGGCATAGGCGCAAGCCTGGCACACCAGGCGTCCAAGGCCGGAGCAGCAGAGCAGTGTGGTGGGCAGTATGGTGGCAGCGATGGCAGCGGCAGCGATGGCAGCAGCAGCGTGCAGCTCGTAGAGTGCAGAGCTGCAAGCGGACTCCAAAGCATTCACATTTTTAAGACATGTCATTTATTTAGTTTGTCTCTTGCTGACTCTGCTTTTGTTATTAGCTAATCCACTGCTAAAAGTTAGATTTGATAGTGTTAACCCCTGATTTTTCCATCTAAGAATTTTATGGTTTTAGTGTGCCCTCTTACATTATTTTTTCATGTTTGTTTTTTATGTGTGAGGCATTGATCCTGTTTCATTTTTCTGTAAGTGGAAATCCAATCTTCATAGCATCATTTATTAAAGAGAGAATGCTTTTCCCATCCAATGTAAAAAATCAGTTGACTATCGATCAGTGCATTTATTTATGAACTCTCAATTCTACTCCACTGGTTTATGAATTTATTGCACCAGTGTCAGATTGTTGATTATGGTGCCACCAAGTCAGATATGACTCACAGCTGACTCTCCAGTGGGTTTTCAGAGGTAGAAACATACTCGGAAAGAGACTGCCCAACTTTCCCTCTTGAGACTCGAGCTGCATGCCTTTAGGTAGACAGCACAATTTCTTATCATTAAGCCATGAGGTGCCATTGAGTCAAGAACGACTCATAGTGACCCTATGAAGAACAGACCTAACCCCAGTCTTATTTTGTGTCCTCATCATTTCTCTACACACCGAGGCCACTGCTGTAGCCACTGTGTCAATCTAGCTCACTGGGGGTCTTCTTCTCTTTTAACTGACCCTCCTCCGTTCCAAACATGAGGTCCTTTTCCAAGGAACAGCCTCTCCTGACAACATGTCCAAAGTATGACAGATAAAGATTTGTCACCCTTGCTTCTGGCTGCACTTTATGCAATTTGTTCTCTGGGCAGTCCTTAGGATATCCAGTATTATTCTCCGACACGACAACTCACAGGCATCAATTCTTGTTCCATCATTCTTACCTACTTTCTAGCTCTCAGATTTGTAGCAAGTGATTGAAAAGATCATGGCCTCAATCAGGTGCACCTTAGTCTTCATGTATGAGGCAAAGCAAAATACAATAGCTTGGAGCAAGCACGTATGAGGATTTACAACATCTATTTTGGGGACACATAATTCAATCCACAACACCATTTATCAAGTAAATTGTTTCATAAATTAAACCCTGAAAATGAGTAATGGTAATAATTACCTGATTTCCACACACTGATCTTGAACAGCAGCCAAAAGTTTTCCATTGCTTTCACAGGGAAGAAATGGAGGGGGGGAAATTCTATTATGAATCTTCAATACAAAACTGAAAAACTTCTATTATGCAGTCTTCAATATAAAAATACAACTGTACTTAATTTTAAATGTTAAAATTATCTTTCCATTTTTCACTGTTTTAACAACCTACCTTTTTATCTGATAAGTTGGAACAAAACCATGAAAAAGTTTCACTATGGCCTGAATTGAATGTTTAAACAATACTAAGCCTATGTGAGCCGGAACTCTAGAAGCTTGGTAGTAAGGAGTTGCAATGCCAACCCAGAGTTACACAGTTCAAATCCAACAGCTGTTCTGCAGAAGAAAAATGAGCAATTTCTTCCTGTGCTATATACGGGCTCTGAAAACCTACTGGAGCATCAGCTATGAGTTGGAGTCAACATGACCAATAACAATCCTAGGTAATAAGAAGCCCTGGTGGCTCAGTGTGTAACACGTTTGGATTCTAACTGCAAGGCTGCTAGTTGGAATCCACCGATTCTTTAGGAAAAAGATGGGCAGTCTCCTTTCACAATGACTTAAAGCCTCGGAACCTGAGGGAGGGTAGCTACGGGTCAAAACTCAACAGCAGAGAGTTTTAATCATACATGGAAAAGGGTGTTACGTAAAAAGGGTAATTTTTTTGTGGGCTTTTTAGCAATCATATTTACCCAAAGAATTTGGACTGTCTTTGGTTCCTGATTAAAAAGAAACTACTAAAACCCTGGAACTTCCCAAGTCTTTGTTATCAAAGACAAATCCCCACCTGACACTGTTGTTGCTGCTATTTGTCGTCGTGTCAATTAAGAATCACTGTGACCCCAATATGAAAGAGAACTAGCCCCTAGGGTTTCCAAGGCCACCATCTTTACAGGAGCAGACCATGAGGCCTTTTCTCCCATGGCACAGATGGTGAGTTCTAATCATCAACTGTGGCGAACTAACTGAAAAGTTGGTGTACTACCTGAAGACGGTTCAGTTGTACCATGAGGACTCCTTCTAGACCCAATTCGTTGCTGTTATAAGTTGGAACAGGTTCACAGCTCATCCTCCAGCATGTGTTCCAGAGGCAGTGGCAATCACATGGGAAGAGACTGCCCATCTTTCTCCTGCAGAGCCACTGACTGATTTGAACCCCATGCCTTCAGGCTAGCAGCATAACCCCTTACCACTAAGCCACTACAACTCCCTTGAGATCATTAGGTTTTGCTAATGAGTTACCTCAGGTCAGGTCTGCCCATGCTAGAAAGACTTAAAGTATATTATTAATTGTGTTGTTGTTATTGTTGTTATTGATTGCCTTCAAGTCAAGCAGGACTCACAGCAACCCTATGAACAAAAGTCCTGAAGCCCCTCTACAACTACTGACATTTATCAAAGTTCATAGAGTTTCCAGAGGCATATAGTTTAGGAAGTGGCTGCCACTACATGAGGGGAAATGAACATGATTCAATCAATCATGGCTACAGAATGTGGTCCGCTGAGGAGACTCTGAACACAGATTCTCCAGGACTCATTGATCAGGTTGAACATCAAGCAAGTAGGAATACAGCATGTTCCTTTTTTCAGAAAGAGAAGCTCTCTGTTAGGAACCATTCTATATCTTACCCTTTATGTCTCCTTATTTCTTTCTCTTAAAATAAAAATGTTCTGTACAGCATTTTTGTAAGTTCTATGAACTAACCTAGTAAATTACTGAAACTAAGAAGTGATAAAGTGAAAACTAACAGAAGGAAGAGGAGCCCTGGGAACATCCAAGCTTATAGCTGGCATCTAAAGAGGGTAAACAGCAACCTCACATTTATAGTTGGCAGCTGGAAAGTGAAGGTGTCCTAGGAACCTAAAAGTTTGTAGCTAGTATTGGCAAACTCCATTGTCTGGAAAACTGTACCCTATAACTTGTGAGATCTGACTCATCTGTGGTGGTCAGGGTCAGAATTAAGTAGTGAATAGGATTTGATTGGTTTCATAGGCATATACAATAAAAAAACAAGACTCTAAGCTATTAAGATCTTGAAATTTATGTTCAAAATAAAACTGAAACCTAACACAAATAGAGAGTTTAAAAATTAACCCAGGTGTATGAATTTTATACATGCTTACCTTGCAAGTACCAAATGCCAGTTTATCTGTTTATTAACCAAACGTACCAGTCCATCAGGGAGCAAAAAAGGGGCAGGACTGAAAGAGAAACACATTGAGTAACTTATAATCTAATTCTCAAAAATACATATAAGAAGGTAAATAATATTTAAAAATTCATATTTACATAAAAATATAATTTTCCCCACTAGAATATAAAATCTGAATGCTAACAAACTCTAAAACAAAAATTACCAATATACCATGACTGAAATTTAACTACATAATACTTCTCTATCAAGAAAATGTGGTAATGGGTTACAAACTATAAACTGTTCTTTTCCAAGAAAAAGACATCTACAGTACCAGAGTCATGGCACAGTGGACTTTACACCAAACATTTCCTGCTTTGAACATCTCAAAATTATAGCAAAGTTATTTAAAAAAAAAAATCAAATATACAGCCAAGCTTATCAAAAAAGCAAAACCAAACAAATAAAATAAATCTGGACATAAAAGAAGTGAGTAAGAATTGAACAGTAGAGTGGTACACAGGGCAAAAGGGACAGACAAGACCCAAAATCAGGACTTAATACACAGAGAGAAGAAACAAAACTTGGGTGTTAGAGAGCACTGGGGTGCAAAACTCAGGCAACAGCCAGGACTCTCAAATGACTGGACCATCAATGTAAGTCTACACAAGCTTCACAATGGACCCAAGAGAAAACTTCATTTTGCCTGAGACTCTGTTTTGTGAAACAGTAAACAAATATATGAAAAATCAAAAAGTCTGCAAAATATGCAATCAGTTACAACTGCATTTTACATATACAATGAAAGAATCCACAAGCTTAAGCACAAAATGCTGTTAAGTGCCATCGAGTTGTAGATGACTAATAGCAACCCTATGAACAAAAGACCTGAATACCTGTATAACTTTGATCATTTCTCCAAGTTCACAGTGTTTCCTGAGGCAAGCTATTTCAAGTGGATGACACTCTCCTGCTTCTAAGTTTGTTTTGGGGTTTTTTTTGGAGGGGTGGAGTTTGGGGGTTTTTTTAAATAAAGTTTACAGGGACTTTGGATTTCCATTCATACATTGTTGCATACTTTCCTTCATACCTGGGGAGCTTCACCAAACAGTGTTCACCTGGGTAACCATTATCGCATTTGACACATCAGTGTCACTGTGTTTAGCATCAAAGGCCATGGGGCAACAATCTACTACAAATTAAGAGTTAGCAAAGACAACAAACTGGGAACAAATGCATGAAAAGATATAAAAGAAAACTACATGACAGGAAAGCAGGCAAAAACTAAAATAAGGAAAATTAGAAAATGTGTATCAGTAGCATATTTTTAGTATTACTTTTGCTCATTTTTCAAAAATACAAATAATTAAGAGATGATTACAGAAAAAAATAAAATTATACGCCAATATTCCTTTTGATGTTATTGTTAAGTGCCATCAAGTCATAGATGATTTATAGTGACCCTAGCAATGACAGACCTGAAAACTTGTGTAATTTTCATCGTTTCTCTAAGTTCATAGAGTTTCTTGAGGCAAGCTATTTTGGAAGTGGTCCCACTCCTGCTTCCAAGACTGTTTTAATCTGGGAGCTCCATCAAACACTGTCCACTATGGGTAGCCATTATCACATTTGACACATCAGTGCCACAGTGTTTAGCATCACAGCAACCAAGAGTTGCCTCTGTACAGCAAATGGACAAACCAGTGCTATACCATTTAGAATGTCTGACCAAAAACAATTAAAACCAGGCCTGAGGGCCGCAGATTAAAATCACCCTCCTTTGGCTTGGTAGCATAGCTTTCTATCCAACAGCCCTACAGAGATCTCTCTATGATTCACAGCAATTCTGTGAACAACAGATCTAACCCTTACCCTATCCTACGCCATCCTCACAATCTGAGACACACTTGAGCCAATTACTACAGTCACCATATCACTCCATCACATTGAGGAAATTCTTTTCTTCTCTGACAACAAAATACTCAAAAAAACCTCAAATTCATTGTCTTCAAGTAGGAACAGACTAGTAATTGATCCTTTTGCTGGTTCTCAGAGGCCATAAATCTCCTGGGAGGAGATTGTCTATCTTTCTCTCACCAACAAAATAGTAGAAACCAAAATGCTAAATTACATTACAATACATACTACACTACCAACTATATTTCAGGAATACAGGGAAGGTTCACTATTGGAATATCAACATAATAGACTACGTGAAGAGAATAAAAAATGGAATACATTATTATCTCTATGAACACAGAAAAATTTCTTAAAAATTTCTTAAAATCCAACATTCCTTTCTTGAGGAACACCTCAAGAAGACTGGAATACAGGGAAAATCCTCCGTAAGGCTAAGGGCATAGATGAAAAGCCAGCAGCTAGATCAGGAGGCTTAAGTGTAACGAACCGTGCTGACAACACAAAGACCCGTGCTCTGAACACTGAAAGGTTAGACAATGAATAAGGATGACAGAAGACAAATCACTGCCTTTGAATTGTGGAATTGGAGAACAGTACTAAATATCCCACGGACTGTGATAAAAAAAGAAAAGCAAGTCTGCCTTGGAGAAGTGCAACCAGGGAGCTCCTTAGAGGTAAGGATGGTGAAACGTTCTCTCACACACTTTAGGCAAGTTGTCATATATTAAACCTATAAGTGAGTGACTTTAACTTTATTATGTTGTTAGAAGGGATGAGACCTTAGAAAAAGATCATGCTGGAAAAGGTAGAGCGTCCAAGAGGGGAGATTCTAACAGTGGGCTCCAGTACATCAGAAATGAGGACAGCACAGGATCAGACCTGTTATTTATAGGGTCACTACGAGTCACACTCTACTTAACGACACTTGGCAACAATAAACAAGATCAGATCGGGGAGCTTTGGCAGCATACATGGAGCCTCTCTGGTGGTGTGAATGCCCCAGCAGCTCCACAGGAGAAAGATGGGCAATTACCGCCTGATCAATTTATAGGCTCCCAAAAACCCACCGGAGGCTCAGCTGTAAGTCAGTTCCATGTCTGATACAAGTGAATGTGATATAAGATCAAATTTACAATAGTATCTAAAATATTGGAGAAGAAATTGAGGAAATAGTGAGTTTGTCATAAGAGGAAGAATACTAAAAAACGGAGTGTAGAAATTACTGTGTAACTTAAAAAGTGTAATAATTACTAAATTGTACATTAGAAATTACTGAATTGGTTTCTGTTCGCAACAATAAGAACACTTTTTAAATGACAGAGAATAATAGAAGTATTAAATAGGCATATAAACATTATGACCTTATGCTGACAGTTTTCTCCAGAGAAGGGTAAGGGAAAGGTTAAGACAGGCCTTGATTTGCAATATTTTGTTTAAAACTGAGGCTTCCTACAGAAAATATGGCAAAATATAAGCAACTCTTTTTTTTAGTCAGATGTAGATAAATCACGTTGTTGATTTTCTTATTGGGCACCACTTACAACTTACAGTGACCCTAAGAGCAAAGGATCTGAACCTTGCCCAATCTTGCACCATTCTCACAATGTCCAATATGCTCAAGCCCACTCCAACTTGCTGAGAGTCTTCCTCTGTTTCTTTCCAGCATGCTATCTTTTTTTATAGGACTGGTCACTTCTGACAACATATAGAATTTTAAAAGTCACATAGGGATTTAATATATCATTGTTTGTAAAACTTTGAATTTTTCTATTTCCCAGGGGTGAAAAAAAAAACACAAAGCACTTACATATTGGACTGAAAACTTTTAAGGTTTAATTACTACAGATTCAAGAATGAAAGTTCAACTACAGTTTGTTTGTTTGTTTGTTTGTTTTTAAAGTAACACATCATGAAGAAGTTTACATAATCACCTCATGGTACATTCACAACCTGTACAATGATTCACCGAGCTGATTCTAAGAATTTCTCAGGAAGACAGAAGGATACCCAGTGAACTCTCTCTACTCTCATGGCACTTCCACGTAGGATAATACTTGCACAAGAATGAACTCATTTATAGACCTCCTCCCACAGAGAAAACAAAAACAGACTGACTCTCAAAAGGCAAACTGAGCAGAAGTCTATTTTGCTCTCCCTAACAAGGGTGTGCAGGACTCGCTATCTGTGATGAAGAGAGCTCAGAACAGGACATTGCTTATACTCTTTCCTCCCTCCTCAAGCACTTCTCATCTCTGTCATACCTCACCTACCCCAAAATATAAAGTAAGTTAAAAAATTTAAACATGTTATATATACATACACATAAAGGAAAAGCAAGAAATAGAATGGGCCAAGCCCTAAAGACGAACCAAAGGTCTTTGTTATAAATATTATCTCTGGAGCTTTTAAGATTAGATATCTTAAAGGAAAAGTAATATGTGGTGAATAATTCTATGAAACAATTCCTATGCATATGCCTAAAAGCAGAATTATCTCTTTTATAAGAATAATTATTGAGTAACAGGTGACTCAATGGCACATAAAAACAACAGCATACTATGACAGGTTTGGAAGCAGGAGTGGCATCCACTTCCTAAACAACATGCCTCCGGAAACCCTATGAACTTTGATGAATGTCAATAGTTGTAGAGGGGCTTCAGGCCTTTTGTTCATAGGGTGGCTCTGGGTCGTGCTCAACTCAAAGGCAATCAACAACAACATAATTACTTCTTTGCTCTTTTTAAAGTTAAAAACCAATTAAAAGTACTTCAGGATTGAAACCTAAAGAATCTTCTTTCACATATACAGCTACTGAACAGGAGAGCTAATATAACAGCAAGAATAAAAAAGTTTTAAAAAGCTGCTCAGGGAAAAGGAGCATCAGGAAAGCATGTAAGATAACACTAAGAGAGAAATCAGAAGTTATGAGATCTTTTCAATCATGACAAATGAAGAAAAATTTATCCTAAATCTACTGAGATATATTGTCTAGATTATCTTAACATTTGAAATGTCTTTTATAAAATGGGGACACCATAATGTCAACATTAATATCACGATTTAGGATGCAATAATTGAAGTATAAATTATAAACAGAATAAAATTCTTTACACTTGATATTCATCCTATTTTTCTGAAAAAAAAATGAAGACTTACCTGTACCAGATGTATTGCCGTAAAAATAACAAACGATCTAAAATAAAAAGAAATAGAACCAAATATAAATCAGTTGTTCTTTAAGAAGTATTTTCAAATGGAGTTTATATAAAACAAATCTAAAATGCAGACTGAATCATTATAAAACTTTAAAACAACTCTTGAGATTTGAAATAAATGTAATCTAGTATATACCACAATTTTATAAGATCATGCATTTTATTAAGTTCTACATTTAAGTACTACTAAAAAATTTAAAGCACTTGCTAACAGCAGAAAAAGGAAGAATGATGTCAAATGTTAAATTTTATCTAAAACATTGTCATGAAACCCTGGATTAGAAGTTACAATCACCATTTAAAGCAAAAAATAAAAAATCTGTGTAAAAATTGAAGCAGGATACCATTTTATCCTAAATAGCAAAGAGTTTTAAAGCAGTGGTACCTAAAATGGGACAGTCTAGAGGCAACAATATCTCTAGCATCCTGTTACAAAACAGTATTTTACATGATTCCGTTTATGTGTATAGGTGTATGAATACCTAGTTAGGTTATATGTGAGCATAGTTAGGCATGTATCATTAGGAAAAAGTCTACAAATGGCAATGATTATCTCTTAGCACTCAGATGAGGTATCACTTTTTTCACTAACATGCATAGTTATCTGTATTTTCTAAACTTCCTATAAAGAATTATTTTATACATTTTCCAAATGTCAAATGTTCATAGTATTTATGATGGTGAAAAGTGAATACAGTAATAGTGTTCCTGAACCAGAAGATCAAAATATTGCTAATTTAAAACATTCTAGGCATTAGAAAACGAAAGCAGTCTTATATATACCACTGCTATTGAGGGGCTTCCAATTATAGTGACCTTACAGGGCAAAATAAAATTGCCCCAAATGGCTTCAGAGGCTATAAATCTTTACAGGAACAGGCTGCCTCATCTTTCTCCTTCAGAGCAGCTGGCAGGTTCAAACCACTGATAATTCAGTTACCAATCCAATCACAATCCACAGTGCCACCAGGGATGTCGGGTTTACAAGTAGGTCATATAATAAGTTTAGACCCAGAAAGACCAAAAGAAGATATTTTATCATTTCTAAAACAATGCAGTTACAAGTATAATGGAGGGGAGAGTGGAAATAGTATCATTATTCATGTAATTATAAGTATCACATATGTAAAAATAAGTTAAGTTATACTTACCTCTAATTGCTTTTGTGATAATAAAGGACGCACCATGTTTTCGGTTGCCTCTAGGCTGCAATTAGTTTAAAAAGATTTTTTTACATTTTAATTTGAGGATTTTCAAATAATATATACACAACCTATATACCTGTTCACTTTTAATAATGCTCAGAATAATGAGTGAATATAAGGCAACAGTACTTTAAACGCACTCATAAATTGAAATAAAAAGACCACAAAAAAAAAGCAGATTCATGCCTGGGAACAGTAGGAATTAAAGGGTGCGTGGTAGAGTTACTGGAAGATGTCAGGCTGACCCTCATAGGAGAGAGTAATAGTTTAGACTAAAAATAGTTCCCAAATTAAAATCCCTGTCAAAAGAAGAAAAAAAGACAGAAATGGCAAAGTCTATCCCAGGTCTCCAGAGTCTATTTGCAGGACTGCAAAGGTCTAAAGAAATTGTCACAGATTCAGTCCTGTAGATTATTAATAAGACTATGCTATACGATTGAAGCTAAAATAAAGATTCTCACCACTGGACCAACTGGCAGCATCATGATAGATGGTGAAGAGATTGAAATAGTTAACAGCTTTACTTTGATTAGCTCCACAATCAACATTCTTGGTACCAACAGCCAGGAAATTAAAAGAGGAACTGCTCTGGGAAACTCGGCTGTTAGAGACCTCTCTAAAGTATTGCAGAGCAAAGATGTCAGTCTGGAGACTAAGGTGCGCCTGATTGAGGCTATAGTCTTTGCAATTACTTGCTATTTACCAGAAAGCTAGAAAATGACTAGGGGTGATAGAAGGAGAGTTGATGCCTTTCGGCTGTGGTGCTGGAGAAGAGTACTGAATATACCATGGACTGCTAGAACAAACAAGTTCCTCCTTAATGCAAGGATTCTAAGCTTCGTCTGACATAATTTAAGGTCATAATATAGGTTAAAATGGAATGGATGGCACCCAGTTCTGCATTCGACCTGGAAAGACCTCCTATCAAGGCAACTAGTAATTACAGAATTTTATTTTTTTTTTAAAAAGTAGAAAGAAAAACACAACCCACCAATTCCTCTAGTCATTTCTTTAGAAATGCACCGAACGCTTCATTCAGAGGGTAATTTGCTCAGGTTATCTCATATTACTCAAGTTTGGAAAAATACTTAGTAAATGTTTTCCCCTCTAAACTGCAAGCTCCAAGAAAGTAGGTAATTTCTATTCACCTCTGTGAATCTAACAGCGCCTGGAAAACTACAGGAGATCCGTACACAAATTTAAGAACACTTTGTTGAAATACACAAGAAGGGGCGCAATTCAGCTCCATGAAAGGCTAAAGATTTGGAGCGAGCACATTGAGGCGACAGATTGTATCGATTAACTATGAAGTCTGGAAAATTTCTCCCTCTGCAGCCCTTGCCAGAAAGAGACCATCAAGAGTTCTCATTTGAAAATGACCCTCGGATCCAATGATGTACCCTCCTTTCAAAACGCGGGCAGCGAAAATTGGAAAGCGAACAGGACGGTACACAGCCCAGAGCACCAGGCTGTGCCTCGCGATGGCCGAATTCCGACTCCCGTAAGAACCAGAGGGACCCACTACAAAACCGCAGCCCACCCCGCACGCTCGCCAGCGACGGCGTTACCAAGACGACCGCACAGGCTGCACTCCCGCTCCTCCGCCCGCCCAGCCCTCTCCCCTACGTGGGTACTGCTACGTGGCTCTGCGCCCCGAGCGCCACAACGGAGCTGTCCGCAGCCCTAAAACACCCTAGGTTACCTGTACTTCTGTCTCCGGTGGCCACTCGGTATTAACCAATAAGTCATAAAGAATTGTTTCTTCTTCGCCCTCTGAGGATGCAGTGCATGAAGTCAAAACCGGCTCCGCGTCGGGGGCCGCCATGTTCGTCCCGGACCAGAGCCGCTGAGACAGGGCCACTACGGCAACCTGCAATGGACAAGTTTTTCTAACGCGAACGTTTTCGTTTTGTTCAGAAGTGTGTGATTTAATATACCTTGGAAAGGAAAGACGAAATTAATCCTTTTAAGAACAAGAAAAAAAAATAAAACTATTGCAACCTGTAGAAAAGTGGCCATCTAGAGGGATCTATGTGAAAAGACGCAGCAAAATCTATTGGAACATGTATACTTTGGATCAGGGTCCAGGTACACTCCTTGTTATATGCAGCAGTATAAGCCTTAATTTTTTTTTTTTTAAAGTAACAGAGCTAGTAAATACCATGTACTATAATTGGCTGGAGTTACAGTAGTCTTTGTTTACAATACAGGAATCTACTCATAGAGGTAATTGTTGAATGAATGAATGAATGAATGTATGTACAAGAACAAATGAGAATATCAGCTCTCTACCACCTGCCTTTGAGGTTTTGTTTCAATTTTATTTTTATTGCTTTCACCACTCTTTCTCTTTCTTAATTCTGACCACCAGGGCAATTCTCAGCATCATAATAGAGAAAAGACTGACGTTGTTAACGGTTTCATTTTGCTTGATCCACGATAAATACCCTTGGTATCAGCAGTGAGGAAATCAAAAGACAAGTTACATTAAGAAAATATGCTGTGCACCACATCAAGATAAAGGTAAACAATCCAATTGAAAAATGGGCACATGTTATGAACAGACACTTCACCATAGAAGACATTGAGCTGGTCAACAACACATGAAGAAATGTTCAAAATCCCTAACTCTAAGAGAGATGCAAATCAAAACAACTATGAGATATCATCTCACCCCAGTAAGAATAGCAAAATTTAACAGAACAGCAAGCAACAAATGCTGGTGAGGTTGTGGAGAAACTGGAACCCTTCTTCACTGTTGGTGGAAGTGTAAAATGGTGCAACCACTGTGGAAGGCAGTATGGCGCTTTCTCAAAAAGTTGCAAATAGAAAAACGATTAGACCCAGCAATTTCACAAATGGGAATATACCCCAAAGAGACCATAACTGCCACCCAAGCAGATAAATGCACACCATGTTTATCGTGGCTTTGTTCACGATAACAAAGAGTTGGAAACAACCTAAGTGCCCATCAACAAACGAATGGATAGAGAAGCTGTAGTATATTCACACAATGGAATACTATGCTGCATTGAAAAACATGCAATATTATTCAAAATTGGTGACCCTGGAGGACATTGTGCTGAGTGAAATATCTCAGTTACAAAGGAACAAATACTGCATAGTGCCACTGTTGTAAAGTGGGACTGACATCAGAGTTGGAGGGAGGCTGAGAAAGATGGGTTCAATAATGTATGCTGCATTAAAACAGATGAAGGAGAAAACTGTTTAAAAGCGATATGTGATTAGGTATTATTGTCATGACAGGAGTCCAGAAAGAAGGATGCATAGTGGAGTGTACCTGGGGGGAGGGATTGTAAACAATGGGGGAACTTTTCTTTTACTTTTCAAAGAAAAGTGTGTATGGGGGGGGGTCAGGGGGAGGGGTGCAGCAGTGAATGAATGGAAATCCAAAGTCTCTGTAAATTTTCATTAAAATTAATTAAAAAAGATAAAAGAAAATACCCTGTCAGTCACCTCTCCAGCTTACTAAAGAGAAATGATATTAGTCTAAAGACTAAAGTGTGCCTATTCCAGGCCATCCTCTCAATTGCTTGTTATGCATCTGAGAGCTGGACCATTATTATGGATAACAGAAGAAGTGATGCCTTTGAGTTGTAGTGCTGGAGAGGAGTATTGAATGTACGATGAGCTTCCAAGAAAATAAACAGGTCTGTCCTAGAGAGGGTAATATCAGGTTGCTCCTTGGAAGCAAGAATATAAAAGTCTGTCTCACATACTTTGTCAGGAGGGACTAGTCCTTGGAGAAGGCCACAATGCTTGGAAGAGTAGAGGATCAGTGCAAGAGAGGAAGACCTCAATGAGATGATTGACACAATGTGGCAATTGAGTCAATGTCTCAGAGATGATAAGATTGGCTCAGGATAGGGCAGGGTTCAGAGCCATTGTTCATGAGGTTGCTATGATTCATAGTCTATTCAATGGCACATAACAAAAACATCAAGCTACCTACATAATGCAAACTGTTTGCATTCATTTGGTAGCTGGTTACTGGAAGGTTTTTAGTTTGCGAATCTACTCAGAGATTGAGATTGTTAACAGCTTCAATGTGCTTGACTTCACAATCAACACTCTTGGTATAAGCAGCCAGGAAATTAAAAGACTGCACTGGGAAAGCCTGCTGTCAGCGACCTCTTCAAAGTATTGAAGAGCAGCAGTGTCAGTCTGGAGACTAAGGTGTGCCTGATCCAGGCCATAGTCATAGCAGTTACTTACTATGCATCAGAAAGCTGAACAATGTCTAGGGATGAGAGGAGAACTGATGCCTTTGAGCTGTGGTGCTTAGAGAAGAGTATTGAATATACCATGGGCTGCTAGGAGAACAAATATGTTCATCCCAGAGAGGGTGAGACCAGGCTGCTCCTTAGAGACAAGGATTCTGAAGTTTGTCCAACATATTTTGGACATGTTGCAAGGAGGGACCAGTCCTTGGAGAGGGACGTAATGCTTGGGAGGTTGGAAGGACAGCTTAAGAAAGGAAGATCTGGATAAGATGGATTGACTCAGTGACTGGGGTAATGGGATTAGGTGTGTCAGAGACAATAGGATTGGCACAGTATAGAGCAGGGTTTAGGGCTGTTGTACATAGGGTCACTAGGAGTCGCAGGTGACTTGATGACACTCAACAACATATCATGAGAAGGGCTACAAATGCAGACTGTGAGACTCTAGATTGGAAAAGAAAAGACAAAGAAGTGATCAAAGTTAAAATCGAAATTCAGCTGACCAGAGTCAAAGGATGACATAGACGTGACTGTGGAACTGGATCCAACTTACTAAACGGTCTTATTTAGGGAGACAATTCATTATCTAAACTATGGCTCTTGAGAGTGAGGCCTAATCCAAAAACAACTGCGAATGAGTCAGTTCTAACTCATGGCAACTGACAGGACAGAGTTGAGGAAACTACTCAAGAAGAAACGGAAAAGAAATGACATACTATTTCCAAGCTTGTAAATATTTTTAGAAGCAGACTGCCTCATCTTTCCCCTGATGCCTGAGCATGAAAGAGGATGGTATTAATAATTATGCTAGGGCAACCGGTATAAAACATAGCTTTCCTGGGTGAACTAGGAAGATTATGAGTCATGTCTTAAACAGCTCAGTAATGAATCTAATGAGGAGGCAGTAGTGTTTCATCTGGACAGTAAGATTCTTCTCTTCACTATCATTCTCCTCTGCTTTCTTCCCTAATGCTTGTAATAACAGCTTGTAATAACGTTTGGGTCTGGCCTAGACCTTGTGTCCTTTAGGGAGTTGTTCTAACTCCTCTTCTATCACTCACTTATTTGACCCAAGTGGGGCTGACAACAGTTACAGTCTGCATCCTGTTTCTAAGCCTGTCCAGTCAAAGATCTTAATATGCTTGATTTAGGAAGCTCTGGTGGCCTAGGATAATAAGTTGCACTGCAGTGCCAAAGACAGTTCATCTGAATCTACCAGCTGCTCCATGGAAGAAAGATAAGTGATCTCCTCCTGTGTGATTAACTGCCTCTGAAAACCCAATGGAGGGTCCATTGTTCCGACTCCACGGTACACAACAACAATGAATATGTTGGAACTAGAACAGTGGCTAACTATTGACCAGTGAAAGCATTTCCCTGAATATTATTTGGTTTAGTTTTTTATGCAATGAAAGTAAAAGGAGCCTTCTCCAGGAGTTGGGGGGGGGGGTGTCACATAATTTGAAGAATATACAGTGGGCGCTGCCATCTTCTTTATTATATATATATATATATTTTTATTATTTTTTTAATGTGTGTGTGTGTGTGTACCGTCAAATCAGATTTGACTGGTACAGGAGGAGATTGTTCCTCCCTTTCCAGCAAAGCATCTGGTGGATTTGAACCGCATACCTCTGGGACTGCAGTGCAGCGTCTTGCCACTAGGACACCAGAGCTCGCCTTATTATATATTTTTGTTTTGTTGTGTATTATAAAATCAGAACTAATCCATAGCTGACCCTCCAGCAGGTTTTCAGAGGTAAATTTCATGAAAGGAGATTGCCCATCTTTCTCCTGAAAGCAGTAACGTGGTGGATTAAAACCACACACCTTTGGGTTGACTGCACTATTCCTTACCACTAAGGCCCCAGTGCTCCCTCTTTATCATATCATTGTTATGACTATGTGCCATCTAGTCAACTATGGCTTATAGCGATTCTATGAACATTAACTCTAAATCTTGCCCTATCCTGAGCCAATTTCACTATCTCTGACACAGCTAACATTATTGCCACAGTCACTGTGTCATTCACATCATCAAGGGTCTCTCCTGTGCTGATCCTTCATTCCTTCCAAGCATGATGTCCTTCTCCAAGGACTGGCCCCTCCTGGAAACATGCCCAAAGTATATGAGATGGAGTTTAAAATCCTTGCCTGCAAGGAGAAATCTGGTTTTACTCTCTCTAGGTCAAACCTGTTTGTTTTCTTGGCAGTCCATGGCATGTTCAGTACTCTTCTCCAGCAACACAACTCAAAGACATTGATCTCTTTCGCTCATCCTTCATCATTGTCCAGCTCTCAGATGCATAGCAAGCAATTGTCAAGGCCATAGCCTGGATCAGGTATATCTTAGTTAGTCTCTAGACTAATATTGTTGCTCTTCAGCCTCTGGAGGGATCTCTTACAGCTGACTTTCACAAAGCAATATGTCTTTTGATTTCCTGGCTTCTGGTGCCAAGAGTTTTTATTTCACCTGCTAAGAATTTAACAGGCTGATCATCTCTGCAAAATGAAATTGTTAACAACCTCAATCTTTTCTCTATCTATCATGATGGTGTCAACTGGCTTGTTGGAGGAAATCTTTGTTT